CGGTCTGAAGATGAAGTGGACAGGTCGGCAGGCAGCCATTAGATCTTCCTTAATCTTCTTTTCAATAGATGTGGACCTTAAGAGTCAAAAATGTGAATAAACTAGAATCACTGTTTCATTGGAACTCGTAAGACAAGCCGAACTACGATACGTAGCCCAGAAAAATTTAGGACTAGGTGACCTGGTCAGCCTTTATAAATACTTGGCTCCAACACGCATACGAACTTAGTCCACGAAGCTCGATTTGTGGAAGAATCGGTGTGGTTGCCCTCAGAAACATGAAGGAAATAACAAGTTATTAAATTTAATGAATAAATAAATGAACTAGCCTCAGAATCAGTCTGTTATATTTGTTCGCTTTCAGTACCGTACCTGATTATTGCTTATGTCGTTTTACGAATCTATTGTATGTATTTTTATAACAATTTTTCTTATCTGTACGATCGGTGTTCCACATACTTTCATTTGTACTTGCTAAGTTTAAAAACAGTCGTTTCAGACAGTACTTTGTAACAATTTTTTTGAAGGACTCTCGAAACTGTATTCCCTAGAGTACTTGGACGTACGAGACAACAATCTAAGTCATATAAAACAGGTGTGGCCGGTCGGCAACTTGCCTTGCTTGCAGGTGCTGTTGCTCAGCGGTAATTGCGTGGAAAACAGCATCGATTACCGCACACGCATTTTGGAGGCTTTTGGCGAAAGGGCATCTGAAGTGAGGGTCAATAACGACGCAGCTACCCAGCGTGAACTGGACACGGTCACCATTCGATTGGCGATCAGGAAAGCGAAAGAGGACAGGCGCCTACAACTGCTTAACGCCACCAAGCAGATCAGCCAGGCGGTCAGCTTGGCAGAGGCCGAAGTGTTGAAGGTCAGTCAGATCAGTCTGTCAGAAAACGCCGTCAATACGGAGTCCACCGCCTATTCGTAACTGTGACAATGTGTGATAAAATTCAGGACGTTTTTTCTAATAATGTTTTTTGTTCCAGATGTTTATTGAGTCAGCATTTGAGTCATTAATTCAGAAAAGTTCTTCAGACTTTGTAATGAATGGTGTTACATTGAACGAAGACTTTGGAACCTAACTTCGAAATAAATGGATAGTAAACATCATCTGAGCATGTTATATGTTACAGTGCGAAACAGTATTCGTTTCGGTTCTTGCCTCATCTGAGACGGACGATTTACCGGGTAGCGATAGCTAGTATGTAGCTAGCTTGCATACCTTTTCATGTCGCTGAAGATTACTAACCTGGACTAAAGATTAGAGGCCACCATCTGTATTAATTCACAAAAAAAGCGTGCTGAAATCTCTTTATGGTGCCATTTACTCTCGCAACAGATTACAAGGCTTATAGACAGAAATAATCGAAGAACCGGACGACACTGGATTGCTAGTGTTAGAAGATCGACAGAAAACAGCAGCCTTTTTCAGGATTCATTGAATGGTCAAAAGCTGAGAAATCCGGCGCAATAACACTTCTCAAACTTTCGTTTTTCATTTGAACCGTGAATGAAAACCATGGTCGCGTCTGTGAATTTTTGATACACTTTGTGTGAATTGTAAGTCCAAATCTCAGTTTAGGTCTTAATGCAACGGTCTCGGAGGTGTCAGTGGGTTGTAGCCGTAGATTTGTCATTCAATGTGACATTTTATCACATATCAGGGTCGACCTCAAAACAAATTTTCTCCCTTTTTCCGTTCCATACCGTTGGCGGAAGCAAATCATGGCTCACTGAGGTTCAGAAGGTCGAGCATCCGTGTCCGTTGAGAAACAGACGGGGAGGGGGAGGGTAAATGAACTGATGGTATTCAGCATTTAATGAATGAACAGGGGAGAGGTAATTCTGTGTTCAGAAAAGAATTGTTCTTTTTACCATGTATTAACCGGTTCCTTATAGCAAAAAAGGTGTTGACAAGTTGAGAACACATCGAACATCACAAACCCTGACCTTCTGTTACGAAAACTGCTTAAGGGATGAGTAGCCGCAGCAAACAGTACGATATTTTAACCTTTTCAAACTTATCGATCCAACTTCCGGTACAATTGCTTCTGATCGATTCATTGCATGAATCATCAAGCACGTTTAATATTAAAGTTGATCAATATTAAATGCAATGCTTTTCGTTCCGGGACAACAATAACATAGTAACTGCAGCTTAGTAGTTGGTTTCTTCTTTCCACAACTCCATCGAGGTATAACTTTATTTTAAGGACTTCAGTCACAAAGCATGGTAAAAAACCTTTCACTCAAATCGTTCAGCTCTATGCTCTATGATCAATGTCTTTCCGTCCTTGCTGTTGGTGATGGTAGAAAAAATTGCCGATCGATCAGTCGCTTGTGCTGCATCCGTCTTGTTGCTCTTCTTTTTCGAACTGTAGGTTTGCATGAGTATTTATTTGTTCAAATATTCGTGCAGTTGATTTTCCTTTTCGAAGTGGCCAGTCGATAATAAAAACGACTTCTGGTTTACGCCCTCCTCGGTGACGGCACGATTTCAGGTTCGAAACCACTGAGCGAAATACGACTCTGACTGCCTTCCAGTAGCTGTGCTGAAACCGCCTGGCATAGATCCAGTATTGATAACCAAAATTTATCACTGACTATCAGACGACTGTTTTGGTAGGCAAACTTGACATCGTCAAATCAACAGTGTCCTGAAATATGGAACTTTTTTGTCAGCGTGTCTTAGCATCTATTCATCCTAAGACTACATAATTTTACCACTGAAGCAGGTGAATTTGGAGGCTTCTTCACGAGGAGACCAATCAGTACATTTAGCCTGTAATTTCTATTAGTCCTTTGAAACGACCTTTACACGCAAAACAGAAATGCCATTAAACACCGAAAAACAAAGTTCAGTCTAAATAACTGTCGATTAAACACAAGTACACCCCGATTACATGGATGGGGTGGTTCAACAAAGTACATAAAGGCAGTTTTGCTGTTGGAAAGCACAGTAGCAAAAAATCGAGTGCGACATGAATAGAATAATCTAAACTGGAGAACGACGCACATTCTGGATGCAGTGGCAGTGAAGCAAGTTGAATATTACTTGAAAACCTCCATTTATCATTTTGATCAGCACTTCCGACACAATGAGGTATCAATTGGGTAGTTGTTTTTTTTTATTATAAACACATCCACATTATTTTATAGAGTTTCGACATGATCACCGGCATTCCCAATCCAAGCCAAGCCATGAACTCGGCTCGCCTTCAGGGCAAAACCTCTAACCTGGCCCACAGTAGGTTCGCCGACTTGAAACACGAGATCAACGTGATTCTAGATCTGGTTCAACAGTGGTCTTAGTGCATTCAGAATCCATATTACACAAAAATTTAGTATCATACTATATATAAAATGTAATAGATGTTCTAAAAACTTTGATTAAAAGTGAGCACCCAGATCTACTGAAAACGTCCTTTCGCAAAAGCCCATATTTCTGAAGAATTTCATCGTTTTTAAGCACCATAGCACACCAGCGAGGATTTGCTCAGGCCCTGCTAAAAAACAACAGTGAAATATTACCCAAGACGTCCAGACTAAATATTTGCTTGACAGTCTGAGGCATAAAAAATACTTTTTCCTCATCGTTGGTTACAAATGTCGTTTCAGAACTCTTCTGGAGATCTATGCAAAAAGAAAGAAGTCTTCAGCGCTGTAATAACATTGAAACAAAGCAGCGGCGTGCCTCGCTGGACGGCCACATGATGTGTACGATTGCACAATAAAAAAATCCTCATCATCGGCTTTTCGATTCAAGCTGGATGAAGGCCTCTAAGGGCTTGACACATACTTGTTTTCCGCGATCAGCTCCTGATACAAAGAGTTTTTTCAACTCATCCAATCATCGAACTGGAGCTCCTCATTTGGATTGTTCACTCTCTCCCTCTTGTAACTCAATCTTATGTTTATCTGGTCCAGCGACGGCCGGTCTTTCTTGCAATATATTTTTCCCATTATCACTTTAAATTCTTTACTCGGGCAAAGACATCGCGGACTCTTGCTTGAGGTCTT